CAGTGTTCAGAAGGTAGACGACGCTGGTGTCATCCAGCACAAGGCTGGGCTCCCTTCTTTTTATGGAGTCCTGTGCCTCTGTGTGCAAGCACGTGTCTTTGTCCCTGTGTGCCTTTTGATTCCTTTCTTAGTTTAGGACAGCCAGGGAAGTAGGAGGATGGTCTCTGAGTGAAGAAAACCTCAGCGCTTTCAGTGGCAACAGGATGATTCATGACCCACTTGCTGGGATCCTGCTCAGATCAGTTCAGATGATGTAAATTAAGGGAGACAAAAACGATACAATGTTTATATCCTTCATAACCCCCAGGGTAGTGACAGACCCCTCTTGACAAAAAACGATACAGTGTTTATATCCTTCATAACCCCCAGGGTAGGGACAGACGCCTCTAACCAAAGATGTGGTAACAGGAGCAGAGTTTACCAGAGGTCACACCCTGTGAAGCCCAGGTATACCTAGGAGAGGGCTCACAGCTCACAGAGGGGGTTGAAATACGGGCTTCTAACTCAGCCTTCTGCACAGGCAACATGGGCAAGGCCAGCAAGTGTGAGGCTTGCATGACTGTTTCTCAAAAGATTCTGTCTGGCTCTTCCCGGACAGAGGGGATGACAGAGGGGATGCCTGTCAAGGGAGAATTCCCATAGGGATGTCAGTTTCCCATGCACAAGGGGGCAGCTCATTTGTATGCAGAGCTTCTTCAGGTATCTCAAAATAATCAATAGAGCTTTTCTGCCAGAGGCAGATCTGGGTGTGGCATATTCTCCTCTTCCACAGTGCAAAGTACCCTAGGTCCCATCTCTCAGCTGTCATTGTCTCAACTGTCCCACCACCGTTATTGTGGCAGGAACAGACTGTATTGGAGGTAAGTTTGGATGTCTTCTCTTTCTAAGGGACATGTCCCCCCACCTACACAGAAGTAGAAAATTCTAAAGAAGCATTCTGTAAGATGACTTTTGGCATTGTCTTAGTCAGTGTTCTGTTGCTGTGAAGAGACACCATGACCACAGCAACTCTTATAAAAGAAAGCATTTTCTCTGGGCTGGTTTGCAGTTTCAGAGATTAGTCCATTGTCATGGTGGTAGGAAGCGTGGCTGCACACAGGCGGATATAGTCAGGTAGTCTAGAGTTTTACATTCAGAAGCACAGGCAGCAGAGAAGAGAGCTACCAGGTCTAACTTGGGCTTTTGAAATTTTCAAAGCCCATCATCTCCTGTGGCACACTTCCTGAACAAGGTCACACCCAGTCCTTTCAAATATTGCCACTCTCTGGTGATGAAGCATTTGAATCTATGAGTCTACAGGGGCTCTTCGAACAACCACAGGCAGATTTCTCTTGTCTCCCATGTCAGTGAGCTTCAGTGGCTTCAGAGTGTTAAAATCTAGTAATCACAGATGTATGTGGTGTTGGGCACTGTGTTTGTTACTCAGTTTTTCGATAGTTAAGATGTATTTAAACAATGAGATTTGAACTAAACATCTGATGAACCGTAGGGCCCTTGACATAAGTCTGATCTGGACACTTCCGGAAACTTTCTTGATCAGACACAGAAAATACACTAGAGGGCTGGAGAGATGGCATAGCAGTTAAGATGCCTGCTCTTCCAAAGGTTCTGAGTTCAATTCCCAGCAACCACATGGTGGCTCACAACCATCTGTAATGAGATCTTGTACCCTCTTCTGGCCTGCAGTCATATACACAGACAGAATATTGTATACATAATAAATAAAAAAAATTTAAAAAAGAATAATTTAAAAAAAAGTATACTAGGACAGTGTTTTCTATCTCATCCTGAGGCATTCTGGAGTGTCTCCACTCCATTCTGGGCCCCTCAGGTCTCCGAGTCCTGGGAGGCTCTGCGTACTGGTCCTCTGCACCTGCTAGAGCATGTAATTCCTGCCTCGGTGTCAGCACAGACTCTTCACAGGGACTGAGGCTAGCTCTACATCACCTCCTTGGAGAGCAGAAAGGGGTCTGTCCTCCCTTCTGGAGCAGCCTTCTACCACAAAGGCCAAGACAAGCTGTTAGGAGGTGCTGTGCCTTGTGGAAGATCACAGTTGCCTCGGGTTTGGACACCTTGACAGCCACCAGATGCTAGCCCAGGAGTGCTCGCGGTCAGGCCCAAAAAGGCCAGTGTCAGCTGCTAATCTGCTACCTCGCCTGATCCCCTCACTCGCTCCTTCTGTGCCGTCTGCTGCCTAAACAGCCAAGAGACTTGAGGTCACTCAGAACAGTGCTCCTTGAACACATTTTCCTGGAAAAAAAAAATGTGCTGACCTACTTCCTGAGAAGGTACCAGGTGTATGTCATTGAGAGAGGAGGAACTTAACAAGAATGGTCTGACCGGGCCGGCCCTGTAGTGCTCCCCACCTCCCCAACTGCTGGGGAAGCTGCTGAAGGAGGGCCAGTGCCCTGGCTGTGAGGTCCACTTACATGTCTTGGGGGCTCATGACCAGAAACAACAGTGAGAGCTGACTTGCCTCCTGGAAGGATGAGGGGCTGTGTTTTCCTCGTGTCTCCCTGTGTTTCAGATGCTAGGCTCCCAGGCGACTTCTTCCTAGTAATCTGCTCCCTCCCACAGTTCCCGCATGACTCCTTGATTTTGAACCCGACTGGGAGAAGAACTCAGGTGATGGTGTCAGCTGCTGTCAGGCCTGGCTGTCTGGTCTGTAGTGTGCTTGCATGTGTGTGCACGTGTCTGTCTCTTGGTTAACCTTTGTCACCAGAGCCATGTTTAGGGGAATTTGGAGTGTTTGTGAGCAGAGGGCGGAGGCTTAGGAGTCAACCCTGATGGCCTAGTGTGTATGGAGGGCCCCAGCAGGAGCAAGTGTCAGCCAGCCTTGTGAGGGGTCTGAAGGGATCTGTGCAGGCAGGCATGTGTTGGAAAGCAACCTTCCTGAGCACAGACTTCTGAGGTGCTCGTTACTACACACCCGCAGCTCTACTGAGGAGTCAGAGCATGGGGCCCACCCTTTCCAGAAGGAGGGTCTGAGGTTCCCTCTTCAAGACGGCTCTTGCAGTATGGGTTTTTACTGTGTGTTCTTTGCTATTCATTAAGTGTGTAAGACTGGCCTATTGAGTTGTGTTTAGGCATGGGGCGAGCATGTTCCTGGATGTGTAAAGTTATTCACTGGTATTTCCTTCCCACCGATGATGGCAGTGTGGATAGTGTCTGCCTTGAGGCCATGTGGCAAATGCTGCCATACCCGTGGCCTGCTTCCCACCTTATGTGGGATTTCCCTCTGTATGCTGTAAATACTATTGGTTAATAAAGAAACTCTCTTAGGCCTGTGATAGGGTAGAGCAGAGCTGGGGGGGGGGACTAAACTGAATGCTGGGAGAAGGGAGGAGTCAGAGCTGTGGAGCCACCACTAGAAACAAACACAAAAACTTTGCGGGTTGGACAAGACCTCGTGGTGATGCACAGATTAACGGAGATGGGTTAAATTAAGATGTAAGAGTTAGCCAATAAAATGTTATATCTAATGGGCTAAGTCATGATTTAGTTAATACAGTTTCTGTGTAGCTATTTCGGATCTGAGCTGCTGGGAAATGAACATGTGGCCTCCGATGTACACCACCCCGTCTCCTGCCATCGTTCCCATCAGTGAAGAACGGGGTCCCTCACTCCACCATTCTCTGTTCCATCAGTGGCTGAGGAGCGTGGGCACTTCTTGTTTGCTCACTGGTATTGACTTGCTCTTTTGTGAAGGGTATCTTCTCTTTCCCCGCCTATAGCCTGAGAAGCCGGCCTCTTTCACTAGCTCCTAGGAATACTGCTCTCTCCTGGAAGCTAGGAGTTGAGGATATATTTAGAAACAGGGTTTTCCAGGAAGGCGTGAGAATGGTGCCGCAGCCATGCTTGGCTTCTCCTTCCTTCCAACATCAGGCCGCTTCCTCCTGGGGAGCATCAATCCTGCCTATCTCAGAACCCTTTGTCCCACTGAGAAGCCATTCTCTTGGCCTGGTTTGTCACCAACACCCAGTTGTCCTTTCTTGGACATAGTTCCTATGACAAAGCCAGGACATAGGTCAGCCATGTGAGTGTTCTTTCCCACGGGTGGTGTGCCCTGTCACCGAATAACACCACCAGTCTGTGATACAGCTGACACTCACCCCAGCACCTTACTTTTTGTTTGATAACATCGAATCCAACTTGTCAACGAGGTGTTTACATTCCAGGAGGGCAGGAGTGATAGGATGGACACTCTTAATTAGCGCAGTAATTCTTTTTATTTATAAAATTTTAGTGTGTGTGTGTGTGTACACCACAGGAATGTGTGGGCCCATGGCATGGAGGCCAGTAAAAGGCATTGGTCCTCTGAATCTAGGGTGACGATGTTTGTAAGCAACTGAACTCGGGTTTCCTGGAAGAGCAGGGAATGCCCTTTACCGCTGAGCTATCTCTCCAGCCCCTCTGTAATTGTTTCCTTGAATGGACTCTTACTTAAGGCTAAAGAGACCAGATTTGAGTATAACACTAGTCTGTGATATACTTTGTTCCGATTGTCTTTTTTTTGAAGAAAACAAGCCCCAAACTTTCTAAGTCTGTGGTTTAAGCAAAGCATGCTGGGGCCAACTGAGGTGTCTTTGCCCTCATAGCTCTAGGGGCATAGTTTGACTTGAGCTGGATACCCACGTGGGACGGCTCACATATGGCTGACCTCAGTGCCCTCCACCGAGGCTCACCTGAGACTGTCCAGTGCATACAGCCTCAGTTTTGTCCCTGTCGATCTCACCCCAGAGCTGCTCAGTCCTCCTCACGTCTTGGCAGCTGGCTTCCAGGAACAAGCACTGAGGGGCAGGCAGCACAACTTGCCTGTTTCCAGAGACCCCGGCCCAGACATTAGCATAGTGCCGCTGTGCTCTGGTGATCACAGATACCATACATACATAGACCGCCCAGGTTCAGGAGGAGAGAGCACGCACCCAGGCAGTGGTAAGTCGAGGCTTGCGACACCCTGGCTCTGCACCTACTGACAGCTCCCTCCACCCTTCCCCTAGCCCTGACTGCTGCTGCCGGGAGAGGAAAGCTGGAGGCCTGCGAGCTGCTGCTTGAGCATGGAGCTGCTGTGTCTCGGACTAACAGGAGAGGGGTACCCCCTCTGTTCTGTGCAGCCCGCCAGGGGCATTGGCAGGTATTTGGGGGCCCTAGCTGCTTTAGGAACCGTAGGTGGGGATTGGGTTGACTGTTGAGAGCACCTGTGGCCTTTGAGGCTCGCTGCTGTCTCAGGCTTCTCCCTCTGCCATCATGACTGCTTCTCAGAGGTAAACATGATGGGTAAGTACAATCAACGGGGCAGACTGCGCAGGAGCCCGGCACCCATGCCATGCCACAGACCGGTAGTCTCCTTAACTCCAGGAGGATTACATTACAGTGGTAGAGGGTTCACAATGGCTTGTCTGCTGCTGTTGTTTGTTTTTGTATCCTGTACATAAAAACGTATTGGAATAATAGCTGCCATCTTTAATGCAAGGGAACCAGGGCATCACTGTCCCGTTAGCTTCTTCCTTCATTTTGAAGCAGCGACCACATCTCTTCCCACACTCACGCCATGTTTACACCTGCGTTGTGCACACCCACAGCTTCACGACCGCTCATTACACGGCCCCTGTGATTAACCCTCCGCCCAGCTCAGTGTCTCTCAACTGACAAGGGAGGTGGAAGGGTTTGCTGGTGCGCGAACTGAGAGCAGTAGGAATTTTCCACTCTACCATTCTGGCGTTGTGACAGGTGACGTGCCCAGGTAGCCTGGCTGACCCCGTGGATCAAGTGGCTCCCTCTGCCTTACTAGCATGCATGCTATAAAGCACATTGCTGTTGCTGAGAATTCACTTCAAGGAGCTTTGCTAAGAGTTGGCCTCTGAGAAGGACAAGCCACCCCCTAGTGCTACATCTGAGCAGCACATGTAACCGAGGGTGCCGAGTTGCCCTCCTTCCTTCGACCCTTCTCTTGTTACCGTAGTTAGCCCCCTCTCAGTTTGTCTACAGACGTCAACCCTGAGGAAGCTCAGGTTCCTTATGATGGCCTTGGGTATTTGTATTCAGTCTGCAGAGTGAATGACATGGGTAGGTCAAATCTGTTTATCACTGCAGAGCCCCAGATACACAGAGGCACTGTGCTTCTCCTCAGGACCAGTTTGGAACCTTAATGGCAACTGCTGGCCCCTTCCCTATGCTGAATTAGCCGTGCCTACCCCCAGTGTGGTTGTTCCGCCATCACCCAATTGTGACTGGCATGCCTCACTACTAATGCTACCTGGTATACGTGATTTTGTGCATATAATAACTGGGCGCCCTAGAAGAATACATAGAAGAAGATTTGATTGAAACAAATACAGTAGAAGGCTTGTTTGAGCTCCACGTATCACACAGTGGGTGGGAAAGATGGAGAACCTGGCTGGGTATAGAGACTGGACGGTGGCTTTCGGTGCAGCAAGGGGCTGATTCTCGGTACTTCTTGCAGATTGTCAGATTGCTGTTGGAACATGGCTGCGAAGTGAACCTGAGTGACAAGCAGGGACGCACACCTCTCATGGTGGCTGCCTGTGAAGGACACCTGAGCACCGTGGAGTTCCTTCTTTCAAAGGGTATGGCGTGTTGCAGTGCGCTGGCTTCTTTTGCAGGAAGAGCTTCGGTAGACCCACTAGTACTTCCCAATGCCTAATGCCTTTCCATCCTGTGTATTTTCTAAGGCATGGTGCAGCCTGGCTGCTTATCGTTCAGCTTAGGTGAGACCCTGTGGCCATCAAACCCGCTCAGGTCTATATAGTCAGAGGCCGGCATCCAGATGGTGGGATCCTCAGGAGCCCAGGTTTATTCATGTTCTGTGATTGTATTCCTGGACTTGGGGATTACAAGCTGTGGCCCAAGTCAGGTCCAGCCCCCCCCCCCCCTTCAATAAGCCAATTAAAAGAACCAAATTAAAAGTAGAAGGCAGAAAAAGGAAATTTACTCAGTGTGGCCACATTGGGGAGAGGAACAGAGATCCAGTAGCCTCCTCGAGTCTATCTTTGGGGTCCTGAAGTGAAATAAAAATGTAACTTAAGGCCAAGGATATGAATGTCTAAGCAGTTCTGGTCAAGGTTGTTCCTGTATGCCATTGGCCTGTCATTGTCTGGGCTTTCATCTTGCCCTGCTTTGTGGTCTAACAATTGTTAAAACTGGGAAATCTCTTTTTGGGAAACAAGTTCTTCCTCTAGTTGTTGCTTTTTCCTTCTCTCAGCATGAGATTCTTGGGGGGAAAAGCTCAGTCTTTGGGGTCCATTTTTCAACAATCAGATATCGAGATTGGGAAACACAATCTCTTTAGAACATCTTCGTTCCTGCCAACCAGTTACAAATGGAGTCTGCTCTCAGGTGCTGCTCTTTCTTCCCTGGACAAAGAGGGTCTGTCTGCGTTGAGCTGGGCGTGTCTGAAGGGTCACAGGGCCGTGGTCCAGTACCTGGTCGAAGAAGGAGCAGAGATAGATCAGACAGACAAAAACGGCCGCACACCCTTGGACCTGGCTGCCTTCTATGGTGATGCGGAGACGGTGCGTAACGGGTGTTCACTTCCGGTGTGTGCCTTCCTCCATGTGCAGGAGGGGACCGATGGGGAGGAGGGTCCTGCTGTGATGCTCGGGCTCTGTGAAGCTGTCCAGCTGTCTGACTGTGGCCTGTGTGTGTGCACACATGCAAACATGGTGTATGGGGGCTTTTCAGTGGTCCGATCCAGGACTGTCAGCCAAGATTTTAATGCACTCTTTAAAGCTGGAAAGCCCTACCCCTACCAGCTGCACGTACCACAGACATGGAGTTGAACACGTATGCCCCATTCATAGTTCTGTTTTTATCATGTGCTGCATATAAATTCAGTTCCTGTGTAGGCCATTCAGAAACCATTTTCCCTTAAGAAGAACGATTAACTAAGAATTGTTAAAATATACTATTTTAAATTGTTTTCAAGCTTATTATTCTAAGTTCTTTTAGCTATAATTTTAGTTTGTACACTGGGAACTGGGAGACGTCTTCCAGGGCAGATGCCGTGCTTTGTCGGGGTGCACATTCCCGACCTCTGCAGGCACTAGACCCTTGTTGAGCCACTTGGGAATCTGCTCTCGTAGTCTCATATGTCTGTTGAGAGGATGAGCGAGAGACGTGTCACACTGTGAAGAGGGGTGACCTGTGGCCAGGATTTTATTTAGGCGTTCATCCATCAGTAGAAATACCACTGGACAAATGGCTCTTAAAAGACCCCACTCTCGATTATTACGGCTGTGTGCTCAGAAACGCAGTTGCCAGACCATAGGGCAACCCTTTGGCTTGTAAAGGTAAGGTCTCACACAGCCCTGCCTGGCCTCACGCTCCCTAGCATAGCCAGTGTTGGCCTTGCACTTCTGATCTTCCCCCCTCTACCTCCCAAATCTGATGAAGGTACACCATTATACCTGGCCATAATTGTGTGTTTTCCTTTCTAAGGACACCCATTACCACAGAGCCCATCTTCCACACCGAGTGGGAGCATTTCCATGCCAGGGGCTCCAGTGTCTTCACATCACCATTGACCCTCCACACACTCTTTTAGAATATAATTAAACTCCCTTGAGTGTGGGTTGATATCTCACCCTGGCTTTGATTTCCATTTCTTTTTTTTTTTTTTTTAAGATATATTTATTTATTTTGTATACAGTATTCTGTCTGCATGTATGCCTGCAGGCCAGAAGAGGGCACCAGATTTCATTACAGATGGTTGTGAGCCACCATGTCGTTGCTAGGAATTGGAACTCAGGACCTCTGGAAGAACAGTCAGTGCTCTTAATCTCTGAGCCATCTCTCCAGCCCCCTGATTTCCATTTCTTTAACAACTAGTGACTTGGAGCTATTTCACATGCTTGATGTGTCTCCTCTTTAGAGAAATACCTGTTTGAATCCCTTACCCACTTAATGGTTTGGTTTTATGATTATTATAGCTCTTTTCATATTCTATACAGTAACCTCTCTAGTATTATCTTGAATACCCAGTGGATTGGTAGGAAACGTGTCCTGTTGCGTACACACAACCAACTAAGTTGGATATAAGTTTCTTTTCTAGCAAGTGGAAACTTTGAAGTGGCCAAAGTAGTTTTTTTCTTAGCATCTCCCATGCTGTGCACGCACAACTATTTTTGTCACACCCAGCCTTTATACTGTGACCTCAGACACGCCACCTTCTCAGCCCTAATGGTGTCATCTCTTTCTTAAATCCGAAAATGAATGACGCTGGCCCATCTGGTTCCCGGCTGCTCATGTCTGCAGCTTGTCCTCCTGTGCGGGGTGAATCTGTGTGTCTGGAGCATGCAGAAGCCTCCCTGCTAGCTGCAGCTGGAAAGGTGACCATGAGTCCTGCCTCTGTGGCCTTGGAAGTGGGGTCAGACACAGGCCGTGTACTTGGACTCACACCTGTCTGTACCTGTGGCTCGCCTTCCTCATCACTGGCAGAGATTCTAGCCGTGGGCTGTGGTGTCACGTCAGTTTTATTTCTGGTCCCACAACGGCCAGAGGCCTCCTTGCCGCTCTGGCCCTGAACTGCTCCTCAGGCTTGTGCTGTCTCTGCTGCTGTAGGTGCTGTATCTGGTGGAGAAGGGAGCTGTGATTGAGCATGTGGACCACAGCGGGATGCGCCCCCTGGACAGAGCCATCGGTTGTCGGAACACCGCTGTGGTGGTTACCCTGCTTAGAAAAGGAGCCAAACTAGGTCGGTGAACCTCACTTCCTTTAGGCCAGTGAACCCCACTTCCATTCAGCAGGGCCAGAGGGTCAGCTTCCAGAACCTTCTTTGAAAGGACTAAAGATGTTATACCTGCTAGGGGACTGGCATCATGTGCATATTCTCTCTCTCTCTCTCTCTCTTCCTCCCTCCCTCTTTTTCTCTCTTCCTCCCTTTCTC